GAGATGCGCACCAGCCCAATCCCCTTCTCTGTTTTTCGGCCCAACCCCCTCACCACCATCAGGCCTCCATCTATCCAACCCCACCCACTCCCTTCCTTTGGTTTTCATAGATTTCTCCCTCTTATTCTCTGTTTTCGGTCATTGATGGCGAGGGCACCATGACCTGACTCCAACTTCCACCTCCACCAAGAAGTCTCCAACACTCCAACTCCAATTTTGTGTTTACCCAAAACCCACTGCTGAACAAACAACCCCAACCCCCAATAAGTCAGATTTTATTTTGATTTTAATATAATTTTGATTGTTGATATAATTTTTGATGTCAATTTTCAATTTTGTTTTCAATTTCGATGTTGTTTTCAATTTTATTTTGAATTAATTTGAATTGCGAGTTTTGAATTTTTGACTGTGGTTGGTTGAATTAGGTGAATGGTTCACACTAAATTTGTTTGAATGGGTATTTTCCAGAGTGTGGTGTGTGTGTGCTTAAAGAAACAGAATTGTAGTAGGAGTATTTTTGTGTGTGAGTTCGTATGTGATTGAGAGAGATAGAGAGGTTCTGAGTGTTTGTATAGAAAGAGTGAATGGTTTGTTGGGAGTTGTGAGCGTCTGTTGTGTGTCGCGGGAGAGGGAGAAGGAGAGAAAGGAAAATGAAGAATAAAAAACAGAGGAAGAATTGTTTGGGTTGAGATTTTAGTTGTTCACTGTACAAATAATAGTGTTTGGATTTGAGTGGCCAAGAATGACCCAATTTCCCTTAATTGTAGTTACATGCGTTGCACGTGAAATTTTTCTGTCCAAATCAGTTAGTGCGAGGGACCAGGTCTAGAGTATGAATTCGGAGGCCTAAATTGACGAAATTCGAACTTTAAGGTTCAAAATATATAAGTAGTAAATTTCAAGAACTATTAGTACAATTTACCTATTAACATTCGGCTTGAAAAGTTCGGATTGAATATTGGGTTTGGATTGAACTTGGGTTTGGTAGTTGAAGGGTTGAATTCAGATTATATGCACTCCTGCTTGCACACTCCTGTTTGATCTTATGAGACTTAAGACATTTCATTTCTTTCTAACCCAAGAGTTAATGCAAGCAACATTATTAAAAGTTTAATAAACAACTTTATTTGAGATAGTCATTGTTAACCCCTACTGTTTGGGTCGACTAGAGCTTGCTTTTACTCAACATCTATTCAGTTTTTTTTTCATCTGTTCAGTTTTTTTTCCTGAATAGTTTTTTTTTTTTTTCC